TTCACTGACTCAGCTTTCCTCCTACAGTCAGCATTACCTCTGTTTTGTGAGGTGGAGGACTTTGTGGACTGGTGTTGGGTAAATGGGTTAATATTAGACTTGTGGGCTTGGGCAGCATTGGGTTGGGATGTCTTCGTGATGCACACTTTCTTTACATAAAACTCTCTTATACATAAGTTGCTGTGGATTTGTTTCTCCAAAGTACCCAGACTAACACATGTCTGTACAGTGAATGATACATTTAACAGCAGAAGGAAGCCTTCCTATACCAGCAACTATAAGAAAGAATGCTAGCAATGGGTGTGATGTCCACGGTGACTTATGAATTCCTTAAGATTCACCCTCATTATTAAGTGACTACTTTCATTCAAGTTGTATGACTGGCCGGATCATATTTGAAGGTTTCTAGTAATATGAACAGGTTTTACATTTTAAGGGTATGTTGTAGCTGGAAAATGATTTACAACAACCAATTATACTTGTTAGGAGCCCTGGAGGAGTAGTGCACTACACAGTAAGCTGCTAGCCCCAATGTCCATGGTTCAAGCCCACCAGCTGCTCCAAGGGAGAGAGATGAGGCTGTTTATTCCCATAAAGATTTCAAGCCTTGGAAACCCAGAAGGTCAGTTCTACCCTGGCCTACAGGGTCGTTATGAGTCAGAATGGATTCGATGTTAGTGAGTTTGGATTTTGGAGTTTTATTTGTACTTGCTAATGCAGAATTAAGAAAGACTGTCCCCAGCTTCTGAGCTGTACAAAACAGTGCGGCACTTGCAAGGCATGAGTATTTATAAAGTGACACTTTATAATATTTATGTAGCAGGGTTTTTTATATAGTAGGATTACCTGGATATGCCTGGGTGTCAAAAATGCTTAGTTCCTTTCCTTCGTTGTCAGGGCTCAGGTGCTACGAGCTAGGATGACAACTAGAGAGAAGGGTGTGGCTGGGCTATGAACTTCCCTGGGGGCTGGGCCCTTCCACTCCAGGCAGTGCCACCCTTGAGCTTGCAGCCCAACCTGGCTTTCTGCCTGTCAATTCTGTTTCATTATTTGACTTTGGTATTGTGCAAAGACTAAAGAGATGGATATCCATCAGTTCCT